TTTGGTACTGGGGATCAAACTTGGGTCCTTGTGCTTGTGAGGCAGGTGGCGGAACCACTGAGCTAAATCCCTGCCCCATCTGTATATCTTCTTTGAGGAAGTGTCTGTTAAAATCTTTTGCCTCTTCTTTATTGGTCTTTTTTCTTTACTGATTTTTGATAGTTATATATTCTGGGTATACATTTTTTATTTTATGTATGTTTTGTAAACATTTTATTTTAATTCATGGCTTTCCTTACTCTCTACATAGTTCTTTTGGGGAGCAACAGGCTTTCATTTTGATAAAGTCCAGTTTGTCAATTTGTTCTTTTTATGGATTTTGCTTTGGTGTTTAAGAAATCTTTGCCTAGCCAAAGATCACAAAGATTTCATTTTATATTTTCTCGTAAAAGTTGTGTAGTTTTATATTTTACATTTAGACCTGTGAATCATTTTAAATAAATTTTGTATATCATATGAGGTATTGCTTGTACTTTATTTTTTTTGCATATGGCTATCCAGTTGTTCTGGTTACATTTGTGGAAAAGAGTATCCTTTCTTCACTAGATTGCCCTTTTATGTTTGTAAAAAATTGACTAGCCAGGCATGGTGGTATATGCCTTGTACTCTTAGCAACCTGGGAGGCAAAGGCATGAAGATAAGAGTTTGAGGCCGGTCTGGGCAACTTAATGAGGCCTTATGTCAAAATGGGTCTATTGCTACTCTCCCTAGTCTCTGTTCTGTAGATCTATTTGTCAGTCTTGTTTGTCCTCTTTCCTTACTAGAGCCTTATTAAGCCTTGAAGTCAGGTAGTGCAAGTCCTCCAGGTTTGTTCTTTTCTTTCAAAATTGATTGGGTTTTTCTGGTTTTTTTGTATTTTCATAAGTATTTCAGTATCACCTATTGAACCAAAATTCCTACTGGGATTTTGATTTGGGTTGTGTTGAATCTATGTATCTAAAGAATTAGATGTCTTGATAATTACTATCACTGTCTTACTCTGAAGAAACTAGGGCATGCTAAAGTTAACTAACTTGCCTAAAATCACTTTGCTTGTTAGCATTAGATGTGAGATTCAAACCCGGGTAGTCTAATATTGAAGGTTTTTTATATTGTTTATGTTAATTAGAAAACTTAATTTTATGAAAGTCAAGGGAATATTTGTTTTTTTACTAATAGATTCTTAGGGAAAGTATAATACCTAGCATATAGTAGACACGCAAATACTTGTTGGAATGAATGTATTAACTATTTTAGTCTTTTTGTGTAGAACATTGTTTCATCTCATTGTACTTGATCTGTCTTTTTGGAGAAAGACATTCTATATTTTGCCCAAGACCTAATCTTTATAACAAATATCATCTTTATAGCTATTCTATCTGCCCGGAATAGAATTAACTTAAAGTTATTTAAGCAAATACTGAATTTTATATTAGGGATAAAGGAACGTTTCATGGATCCCACTGGAAAAAAGTTAGGCAGCCCATAGAAAGAGATTGGAATTGGGTATGGAAAATACAATAGAACTTTCTTTTCATCTATAGTCTCCATGTGTCTGTCTCACTTTTTTCTCTGGGGAGCTAAGCATTCTTGGCTTTTCTAGTCACACAATAGAGGATGGCTACTCTTTTTTTTTCTTTTTCTCTTTATTGAGCTAACTGGTTGTTTCATGATCAGACTTACAGATTGTAGGACAGAGACTAAACTGGCTTGACTTTAACGCACTGTCAATCCCGGGTCCAATGAATTTTAGGCAAGTAAGCAAAATACATAGAATAAACATGGATACTGAAGGCTTAATCTTGGGAGAGCAAGGATTCTGGGTTGTAGTTATCAGAAAAGGAGTGTAGTGTGTGAGTCTTGACAGGCATTGCCACATTTTATTTTGATGTATTATTATTTTTTATTTATATATTAATTGGTACATTTTAGGTATACAATACATTTACATTTATGATTGGGTGTTTGTACCTGAACATGATGT